TATCCCTATGCTCTGCTTGCTCCAGTATGTCAGTGCCTTTCTTGTACTAGGTAGCCCAGACTGAACACAGGACTCCAGTGCAGGCTGGTGGCCTTCTTTGCCACCAGGGCACATGGCTAACTCATGTTCAACTTCTTATCTACCAGGACCCCCCAGGTCTTTTCTACAACACTGCTGTCTAGCCTGTCACTGCCCAGCCTGTCCTGTCACACAGGGTTATTCTCTCCCAGGTGCAGGGCTTGCATTTGCCTTAGCTGAATGTCATGAGGTTCCTGTCAGCCTGCCAAAGTCCCTCTGAATAGCAGCCTTGCCTTCCAGCATATCAACTACTTTGCCCAAATTGGTAGCATGCGCAAATTTACTCAGAGTACTCTCTTCACCATCATCCATGCTGCTAAGACATTACACAGTACTGTCCTCAGTATCAAGCTCCACCATGGGTAAATGACTGCCAGCTGAACTTTGTACTGTAGAGTACACCCATCAAGGTCCATGGTCCAGCCACTTTATTGCCTGCTTATGCAGTCTGTATCTTAGCAGTTTGGCTATATGGATATTAATGGACATCATATCAAAAGCCTTTTTAAAAATCAACATACAAGATGAGAATCTGAGGCAATAAAAAACACATTTAAACTTTGCACCCTGAAAACACTATTGTTGATACACCAGAACCAAATGGTTGCCACTTCTGTTATGATACTTCTTTACTGTGCCATATGGAATGAAGTACAGATCATGCAGAAAATACTAAAATTCCTCCAGTACTATATCAGCATTGCTGATTCCCACACATGTAACTCAGTCCCATAGCCTCTTCATTGCAAAGCCACCACAAGTCATGTCAGAGGTTCTGTCTGTATGACATTTAGGACCACTGTAATTCTTATTACCAGCTTTTGTGACTAGGAGTTTATGAACAAGACGCAAATATGTATTAAGTATATGTAACCACACTGTTTTTCTTTTTCCCCTATTTTAGCTATGCTGCAAACCAGTATCAGTAAAATAATTCCTAGGAGTTTCCCTGTAAAAAAGCATTTAATACACTTAAAGCTTATTGCAGCAAGGGTAAGTGTAGCGATTCATATTAAGAGAATTTGACTGAAGAGTCTTACCATCTTCCTTTTTCACTGTAAGAATATGCTACTTTAAAAATACTACTACATAAGCAGAAGTACTTTCCAAACACTTGGTCTGAATAGAAGATCAGTCACTCTGGAAAAGAGTGGCCCCAACTACATTGTGCAGGAAAACATTAGATACCCAAGGCAAGAGCTCTCACAATAAATAGAATGACCCGGGGAACTGTCCTTTATGAACTAAAAGCAAATGAAAACTTTGCTCTGAAAAATAAATTTTACTTTACTATTCACTTTTCAAAATGAAGTCCTCAAAAAGTGAGCCAGTGTGTTGGCTTAACATGAAAGGATAATTTATTAAAAGTAACAGTTGTAGTTTATTTCAGCACTCCTAATATTTGCAGATGACAACATCATCAGGGACTTGAATCATCTCTCAGGTCTGGACAAGGGTTCAAACAATCAAGACACATGGAGGAGATGGCCTGACACTGACAAGGCAAAGTCTAGCTGAAGGAGAGCTCAAATCTAAAACTGGGAATGACTGACTAAGCAGTAGTACACTACAGAAAAGAAGGCGTCTGGAGAGCACAGTGAAACACAAACTGTACAAGCAAACAAAAGACTGTCAAAAATTTACTGGTTACATTTCAGAATTACTAAAACAAGTGTTATTACACAGGGAAGCAACTATTCTGTCCCTTGTCAAAGCCTCAGAGTACTAATGTCCTAATTAAATGCTATGCTTTAAGTAGTGTGTACACAAATGAAAATCCAGTAAAGAAAGTTACAAGGTGTTTCTAAAAATTTGCATGAAGAAGCTATAGGTGTCTCTTAGTACAAAATCATCATTAGGAAGAAGGCAAAAGAACCTAACAAAAACCAACTGAATATATATATTGGAGATAAAAGTAGCAGCAAAACCAGCTTAGGCATGAAACATATGTACTTAAGGAAACTTGTGAAAGTTACTTCTTTAGAGGTTTTAAGAATAGAAGAGTCAAGTATCTGCCAAGGGTAGTCCATCCACACACAACACTCCCTGAAGAAAGTACTAGGCAATCTCCCGAGGTCCATTCCAACCAACCAACCAAATCTATGACTCTGAAGTGCCAACCAATTACACAGACATCTGCAAATTGCCTGCTATTGAAGGTAAAAAAAAAAAAACACAACCCACCCTGCATTGCATTGAGCAATGGATGATTCATATTAATACAATTCTTACCCTATGTTCAGGATCTAAATAAATTATTTGAAGAGCTCAAAAAGTTGTTGAGTCCTTAAAGGGACTGATTCATGAGAAAAATAGACAGGATTAGGAAATTCTCTCATTACTGTAATTTAATCTATGGGCAGAAGTAGCATTAATTTTTTCAGATATAAACCTTTTACCTAAACATGTATGCTAAAGAATAAAATTCTCACTTTTGCTCTATTAAAACAGAGGGCAAAGCTACATGGTGTAGCACTTTCTCTTTGACATACTGTCCACATCCAAAAAGTACAATCTCTGCTTCGCTACTGTTATCCACTAGCATGAACTAATGAAGTTTCCATTGACAGTTTATTTTTTACTAAATGCAAAGGGTTTTTTTACTTTATATATTTAAAGATTTATGCTCTTTCATTAAATAACTGTTTTAAGTCAGCCTGGTCAAATCCAGTTTTCCCGCACATTTGTTTTTTACAACAAAAGTCCTAAAATGTGATTGTGTGCAGTGGCTTCATAACACATAAGGAGTGTTTCACCGATAGTATGTAGTCCAAATAATCACAAAAAACAGTATCAAGAGGATATACTCTAACTGGAGGGAGGTGGCAGGAATCCCTAATGATCAAATTACGTAAGACTCTGCATTGTGTTTGCCTCATTTGGAAAGCAACTCCTTCAAAACAAGTAGTTTTCCACTGTAAAGATATCAAATTCTTTGAGGGGGTGAAAAATAAACCAAGACTGGAGATGGTTTCAACATTTCAGTGATTATTAATCACTTTATGTACTGAACTGGTTATTTTTTATATTTAAAAAGAAAAAAATCACCTGAAGGTCACATAATGTTAGATAATAATGAGCTACTACTACATCATCATATTTGTTCTGTAATGACGGATGACCTACAATTAACAAACATTTGTGAAAACTTACAGAAAGCCTGAAAGAAAAACGTTCAATGATGCTATAGTAGGCATAAAACTTTAGTAACTGCGATTCACAAGGTGTAAATCTGTTTTCACAACAAAGTATTTGCTTTGGTTTTATTTAATTGCAGTAACTAGTCACAAGAGGTCACCATATTAAAATTTACAGGAAAAAAACCAAATAAGTTGTAAGCTAGAGAAAACATCCTGCATTATTCTGATTAAAAGGAACTGGTTTCACTTACATAGGTATTTTTGGCTTAAGAGCCACAACCATAGTATAAAACATATAAACCATTTATTAGAAATTTGTGTCTCTTACTTTGTTTTAAATCAAATATTCAGCAATGTATTAGGATAAGTGGCAGCCAAATGCAATCCAAAGCACTGCAAAGTTTACAGTGCAACATCCAGAATTGCTTGACTTCGTCCCACCATAATCTTTAAACTAATTTTCTTGTCTCTGTTGCATCTTGCAATAAAGTTGGAATGATTAACAATCCATTTCACTTTTCCATCTTTATATGAATTATTGAGGTGCTTCACAGCAGCATCATTACTTTCCAGTCCCAAGAACTATGGTGATTAATAGAGTGCTGAAATTAATAATCTCAGATTTGTAAGATTAATTTTAATAATAAAAAAAATTCTGGGGAAAAAAACACCTAAAAATGTAGATAGCTGAATATGACCACATCATTTTTAGCTTTAAAATTGGGCCAACACCTGTCTGTCATTTTTGTTAAACCACTCATGTCGAACAAAATATATTCTAATAGAGTAAGTAAAAGAAAAGGAACTAAGACTAGTGACTTTTTTCTCTTATATTTATACTGATATGTGTATATTTCCATGCAAGTTAAAGAAATATTCTGAGTCAAAAACTGAAGTAATTGAGACTGTAAACACTATATGGAAAACTTGCACTATTCTACTCTATATGTCCAGAAATAAGCCTACATAGATATCTATTATGACAATGTGTCTAGCACACAACATCTAAACAACTCTTTAATGACAAACCTGGGGCTTTTTTGTTTGCTTGTCTGGTGGGGTTTTTTGGGGGTGGGAGTGATGGTTGTTTTGTTTTTAACTGCAACCTTTTCTGTCACCAGTTTAGATAATTTTGTAGGCTCTAATCCGTGTACATTATAATCTTAAAATCTGTAATAAATTATTATTGATTTACATTAAGCAGTGGAAGAAGGGAAAAAAAAAAAAAAACCCAAATAACCAAACAAAAAACCCAAACAACCTAGGCAGATGGGGGAAAAAGAAAAAACACCTTCAATAAATCTGAAGCAAATATTATCATGAGCCCAGAACTATACAGCTTTTACAGTCATTGACTCTTCTAGACTAGATAGGAGGTAGGAATTGTAAATGAAGCACTGCACTGGTAACTAACGTAGTTAAACATGTGTTCTAATAATTTAAAAAACTAATTGCTTTCTTCTTTCTCTTCTCCTCCCTCTCAACTATCAGGATTAACATCATCAAGGAATTTTAACAAAAGATATTCTCAGCATAAATGCAATCCACAAAATACATGCATATGAAATTCTAGCCAACAGAACTTCAGAACTACGTAGCTCTAAACTATCAAGGCATGTTGCTATGTCTTTCATCCCACCTACTACCACCATCTCAAAATACCAGCATGTATTCTTTACAGTTAACTTTTCATCTGTTTTGACTCATGCCAAAAGAAAGCTAACAAGAATGGCAACGTTGTACCTAAAAAAAAAAAAAATCTGTATTTGCAACAGCAATTACCTCACTGCAGTAATTTGAACTTTCTTTAAACTCAGTGGTGACTTGGTCCCAAGGGCTGCCTTTACATTTGGGAATCTTGCAACACGTCCCAGTTCCTCTTAGTTGTGCTATCCAATTGCATCCCAATTCTACATCAAGATGAGTCTTAAACACAAAGCATCCCGCAGTTTTTCTGAGGAAAAAAAGAACCGAACACACAGGCCAGACAGAACCTGTGGTAAACTCCACCAGTTTCACAACACAAAAGATCAGGGAAACAGAACCTCAGGATATACCAAAGCATACTGTTGAAAATAACTCTATAAGATCCGAAAGTTTTCTGGAGTTAAGTCTGATGCTTACTTATTTTCAAAAATCCACCCACGAGTTTCCAAAAGCAGCTATCAAAAAGACAATGAAATACTGCTAGTTCAGATGATTTACTCTGACTACATACCTGCAATAGGTCTCCTTCATCAAAACGTAGCATTTCTATTATGCCATCTGACTGGATGAAAGCTGTGAAGAGAAACAAAAAATTAAGTTACATAACGGAAAAACACTTTGTTATTAACTTAGAGACAAACTTAAACCTCTAAAATCTGCTGTACCTCGTTTTGTAGATAGAGCTATGACAAACCAAAATAACAGTGCAGAGCCTAGCGAAATACCCAACACAAATCTGTTTTCCTCTGAGAGCTCCAATTCCAAGATGTTCGTATTAATAAGTACCACACTTCACAAATCAGTCTCTTGGCGTAAAAATGATTAACTCCAAAGTGAACAACTTCTTCTAAGGTTCCCTAAAAAGACTGGCTGTACCAAGCTAACTCAGTACTTCAACCAATATGATTGACTGGCTACCTAAACAACTGAGTTTAATACATCTAAGCCCACAAAGAATTCTGACACAAATGGAATTTCAGTTTCATTTATATACCTAAATTCTTAACTGTAAATCTGGAAAGACTTGTTCACGCAGTTCCCTAATGCTCAACATGGCAACAACTCTCTCCATATTGACAGTAACATAAAATTTAAAACAGTTTAGAAGTGTTTGCACCATATGACTAAACTCGATGAAAAGTTCATGCCTCAGTCACATATAGGATCCACAAATTAAGAATTCCCCCTCCACTCACTTCCTCTAAATGTTTGGTCAGACAATTGTTCTTCAATTCCTCTCAAAATGTAGGCAATGCTACTTTCTTCTAAAGACAAAGAAATAAGGGCATTGCCCTTCCTGTAAAATATAATAATCTGTACAAGAACGAACGTGAGTTAGAGGAAAGAAAAGTTCAAACAGGTCTAAATTTTACTCCCCAAAAGACTATTCACACACACACACACACACACACACAAGCACATCTTCAGGATAAAATACAGGAACAACCTCAAACTAAAAAATTATATTAAAAAAAAAAAAATCCCGTAAATAACTCCTCCCCTATGACCTTTTTCTATGACTGCCTTTACCATTCAGCTACATCAAGTTGAGAGAGTGAGAACACACCCCTCTTTCCACAAAGGAAGCAACTTCAACATGAAGTAGTTAAAGATTCCCCGGCACACAGAAGCCTAGTGTGTGCTTCTGGAAGCCAGAATTTGAATCCCAGTCTGAAAAAGGAGATTTAAACCTTCATCTCCCACTTTGAACGCCAGTGTTCTAACAAGAACAATTACTATAAGGTCACCAGCATTGCCACTTGTCTCTATGATGTTTTAAAAGAAAAAATGGCATCACTTTCAGAAAGCAAAAATAAGCAAAAAGCACTATTGGCAGACAGGAGTAAAGGTACCTACCACACAGAGAAACACTATTTCTGACACATCTTTGTCCCAAGCATTTCCTCACTGGCTGCTTTAGTGACACCTCACTCAGCACCCAAAATTCAACATATCACTGTTTGCACATCCCATTCTGCATCCCTGACTCCCCCCGTATTTTGATACCTTCTCCTAAAAGGTACAGACTCCACAACCTTTCTTACATATGACCAAAAGTAAAAGTTAACATAAAACCAAGATTGCTGCTGTCATCTCCAAAAGTCTCCTTTGGTAGGCAAAAAAACCCCAAACAAACCAACCAAACCCCCAGACTAAAAAATTCTATCCAATCACTTTCCAAACTACCATACCTCAGAATTCTAATGTTCAGTGACACAGGCTGAGAAAGCAGCCCAGCTCATGTGGAAGTGTGAAAATCACCATAGATAGGAAGAGGGGGCTCAGATTATTAATAATATGCGTGTCCTACAATATTAACTGAGTGGCATGAGTGGTACTAGTCAGTCATATCAGCAATATCTTAGAAATTTTTTTATGTGTATTCATTGTTATTACCTTAATGATTTTTCAAAACAAACACGTCATCCTTAATCCAAGAACTGGGGGTTTGGTCAATCATTTATACTAAAGAACCATACAAAACATAGGGGAAGAGATTAAAAAAAACAAACTCAAAACAAAACAGCATTTAAACAGCTGTTACGAGATCAAGTCCTATAGCTTACGAAGATTTGGGCTTTAAAACTTAAATTACTGGAGTAGGTCTACCAGTTTAAAGTTTAATCCTAGAAACAAACAAACAAACAAGTGAATTCTTGTCAATTTAACTGTTAATGCATATATAAGACATTCAAGTCACTGTTTAATTTTGTCTTTAAAACCACTGAAAAATCTGTGAGTGAAGTGCAGCACAAGAAGTAAGAAAATGAAGTGTTGACATGTTAGGTTAAAAAGCAAAGTTAATCACAACTTCATGGAAATGTGAAAAAAAAACCAAATTACAGATTAGCTGATATGGAGGGAAAATTCTCAATTTTTAATTTAGGGACAAATACAGAATGAAATTATGTTTTCTGACACATTTGATTTATTCCAAATTTAACAAACACAATTTAATAAAATAATTTATCAATAAGAGCAACCTTCCTACATGCAAAATGAATGTCACCTCTGAGGTTGGGTTTTTTGGTATTCTTTCGTTTTCTAGCGTTCTGCTCTGGAAACAAAGAATATGCAGAATTTGACTGTGACATCAGGCACAAACAAAAAATTCATTAGAAGACAACTTTTTATATTCATAATCTATCATCAACCGGTAAAACACAAAAGGTTATTTCTTCAAATGTATATTTTTAGATAAAATTACAAATTCTTATTATTTTCCTAAGGCTTTCTTTCCCTGTTTTAAGTATGATACACTCTAGGTACAGAAAGCAGAAAGTAGCAACAGTTCTTCCATAAGTATAACACACACAGAAGCCCACCGAAACAACCCAAAGCCTTCAACAGAGGCAACCCTTCTCTAAACCCCAAACACTTTCTCAGCCACTCTGCAGTTATTTCATCTTTGCTGCCCCTCAGGAACAAAGCAACAGATGTTACAGAACATTTTAGAGCGGATGACACTGTTAAATGGAAGTGCCATTCATCATTATATCATTTAAGAAATGTTTTCAGAGAGCAGATGACAGTTAGTACCAGGTGAAGTCAGATGCACTGCAAAGCTTGGCTGCTGGCCATTTTGCGGCAGCCGCATCTCAACTCAAGACAGTGGAGAAGTTTCTGTGGTTATACCTTTTACTTTGTTTTAGGCTAACTTTCAAGCCTTTGTTTCTACTTTATCGGTTATTTCATCAAAGCAAGGAAACGACAAGTAAATGCCTACACCTTCACGAGATGAAAGCTTGTTTTTGCAACTGACTTCTGAGACTCTCAATTCAGGGTGAAGCAACGAGTCACCTCACTCAAATGAGGCAAAGCCAATTACATTTTTAAAAAAGCTCCACCGGCGAGTCATAAAGAATCACCCAAATCCCTGGAAGAGCAGCTCTCAAACTGTCTAATATGGACCACAGAGAGGACAAAGGCTTCTTCAAAGTGAAATGCAGACGGTGCCCGAAGAGCAAAATGCTTCCTTCTGGGTACTTGCCCATTCCAGAATTAGAAGCAGTTGCTCACCATTTGCACTTGCACTACCTGAGCTAAGTTCACAAGCTTCTGCAGTGCAAGTCCAAAAATAGTCTTTTCTGTCCTTTTACGCAAAATATATGTCACGACTAGAGAATAGGTTATTACCAATGCCAAAAGACTCTGCAAGCAATTACATATGAGATCACTTGGCCATGCTTTATTAGGTGAACCATTCCCCATGCTACAGAGGAAGATGACTGCTTCTGCAAAGTCCCTAACAATTTCTCCTGGAAAAACTTCTTCCTAAAATCCAGGCTGATACCATCATGCTCCATTATCAGCGTAATACTGTAGCCAATACTTCAATACTCGGGAATAGTAAACTGCAGCAAATTAAGAACTGTTGACTGTGCTGTTTCAGTCACCCCTGCCACATGACTGGCAACTGCTGCGAGAGGGGCACAACGCAACATTTGGGGTAGGAAGCATTTCAGCTGTCGCAGCGTGATCTGCCACCACACAAATCAGCAGCCAGGAAGCCAAATTACACATTAGGAAAATAATTTCTTCCTGACCCTCCAGGCAATTGAAGCCCTGAAGGCTGATTATAATAGTTATTTGTCAAACTTTAGATGTTACTAGCATGTTCACAGCCAAAAGAAGGAAAAGGATGAAGATTAATATCCACAGATTTCAAGGCCAGAAGAATCATTCTCCTTTCCTCCTCACCTACGCTCAACAGAATAATTTCTTCTAAGAGGTATACACAGAGCCCTTTCGACAGAAAACCTTTATCCTTTCAAGCACCCAGCACGAAGCACATTTATCAGATTCATGAGAATCCGTGACAATTTGTGTCACTCTCACTACTAGAACATAAAGTGATTTCAGGGTCAATTTTTTCCAGCTTCTAGCTTACGTATCCTGGTTTCCTCTTTTCAGACAGCAGGTCACTATTAACAGAAGTGATATAAGCAACAGCAAATGCTAAAAATAATCTAAGTTTCATTTTTTGTTTGTTTTCAATTTACAGCCTTTAAAATGCAACTTCTTTGCTTAAGTCAGCTTTTCTAGTGAAATGTCCATAAAAGATATCAGAAAAAGACTACGAATGTAGGTCTTTCCACTTGCTCCAAACCACCTTTTTCCAAAGAGAGCATTTTCTAAGCTTTTACAAACTCTTTAAAAAAAATTGCAAAACAAAACCCACCACCACAGCCATACCCAAACCACAGCTTTCTGGAAGAGTTAAAACACTATTTAGTCATTATTACCAGCAGATTTTTAAATGCCTTCCCCTGCCCTTTCCAGCAACACCACAGTGCTTGATGGTAATCACCTAAAGTAATAAAAATGGAAACAACAGTGGCCTAAAGAGACACTGAATTCACTTAAAATTCCTCAAAGCTTAAGCAGCATCTTCTCACAATTTTATGTAGCTAGCAGACAAATTTTGCTCAAACACATTCCTATTTTAATTGTCTCTTGTCCAAGCCTTTGTATTTTAGCTTAAAATAAGAAAAGTACAGACCTATAAAGCATCAAGTAACAAGAAGAAAAATTTAAAATCCTACGCTTCTCCAACGCAAACCGGAACTTCA